AAGCAATGAATGGGTGAAGGGACTTTTAACAACCTTTTACCAATTGCCTCTTTTCATTCCACTGAGAACCTGCTCATTTAACAACACACTTCAAGCACATTCAACACGAAATTACCAACTTCAACTCAAAATATGACCAATTATCAACATTCTCACTGAACAAAATATTTACACATTTTTAATTTTCATCATCATCCGATCCCTCAGTTCATACTTTTATCTAAGGTAATTCATTAAATATTTTATAAAATACATGTCTAAAACTTTGCTGAGTGCAGCAAAATTAAAGATCCAAATATGCCAATTAAAAATGCAGATTACATAAAATGCATTACAGAAGCTTACAAAGCATGAATTATAAATGCAAAACCACAAAACAGGCTATTGGGAGTCAGAGCACACACTACTCCCATTTAGAAATGGGAAGTGCTTTTAAAGACAGAGAACAGGAGGCATTACTTTACACAAAGAGTTGTGGGAGTGTGGGACAAAATATCAAGCCATACTGTCAAAGCAAATACCATGACGTACTTCACGTAATTGGAGAAGCCAGTATAAACCAAACCAGATGAATGGGCAGAACATTCTCCTTTCTCAACAATGTTATGGATGGAATAGCCTGACCCAGAACAAGGTGACGTGGGACAGGAGAGGATGATACCAGCTTGGTAAAAAGTATAAGGTGTGACATATAGAAATTACATATAGAAATTAATTTTTGTAATTACCTTTCTGCTGGAACACCGGCACTTTATTAAGACAGCCTCTGCTGTGACCCTCTCTCTCTACCTGACAGAAAACAAACAAAAAAAATTGCCTGAAATGAATGCACTTCATCCAAGCAACAGTTTTACACTGTAAATATAAAAACAATACTTCATGAATTACAGTTCAATAGAACATAACAGCGCTCCTACTGCTGCAGTAAGTCCTAACAACTCACTGTTTCACTGAACCAGATTACCTCCTTTCCAGAGACATAAATCATACAGTGTAACAATCGGATTATCCACATAACGACATCCAAATCCAGTTGCTAACAACAAATCAATAAGTTCAGTCCTTAAGATAGATATTATTTCCCTGCATCTCCAAGACTAATCTTTCTTCATGTCCAATGTTGAACAGATTGTCTTGGCCAGCGTGGCTGGTTTTCAGGGTGAAGCAGGAAGCTCAAAACTTTAAGATGGTGAAGGTTTTTCTGAAACAGGGTGTTTTCTGTGCTGCAAAGTTTTCTGTGCTGCACTATACTGTAAATACAACATGATCTGTGAAGAGCAGCAGTGAATCTGTCTTGGCAAAGTGGTGTGAATAGGTTTCTGGCAACCTGAAGGATTATCTGCAAATCAATATAGAGAACGTGTTTAGAAAAGAGCATGACCTCCTGTGTATCCGAACCATCATAAATGCCTTCCTGATTGTTCCTCAGCCCAACAGCACCATTGGGTGGTAGGAGTCTGGAACAAGCTACCCAGTCGTTTAATTGAAGCTGATACCCTGGCTTCTTGTAAGAAACTGCTGGATGAGATCCATGGACCAATTAGCTACTAACTAACAAACAGGCTAGATGGGCTGAATAGGCTCCTCTCGTTTGTAACTGTTACAGTGTTATTATAATTTCCAAGTGTTTGGCAGTTGGCAACAAGAGTAGCCCATTTTGGTTTACTTTGGCTTTCTGTGATGTCTCTCCTGGTGGACTGATGACTGAGAGCATCTGCAATCCTTTATCCCCCAGCTGCCTGAGCAGTAGTGATGAGGAAAGGTACTAGCGAGCCACTGAAGCAACACGTTAATCTCCCTCAGTGAGTGAGGCTGTGCATTAGAGAGCCATGGAAGTTCACCATGTTGAGTCCCACAGGAAAGACTGGTGCAGCTCCATTGTCAAAGATAAAGCACCCTACCTGCCTGTCCCTTGCTCTGGTGAAGAGCTAGCCGGCTCTAAAGCCAACTCACATTTCATTGGGCCTTGCATAGTAAGGTGTACCAGATAGAAAATCTGAATGCTCGTTATATAAGCGTAAGAATAAGAATGAGTGTGAGAGTGTCCTAGTTACCCAGACTTTAGTTGCCTGTAAGTCCCCCAGAGCTGCAGAACTTTTAAGGAATGTGTGAAGGGGGCAGGTGTTTCAGCGGAAAAAGGAGTTCCTAATACATTCACAAGAAAAAAGTTAATTCCTTTGGGCACAGGGTATTAAAACACAGGATCAAGCGATTTCTAATTTTATCCAAGCCTGACAAAATGCAGTGAAACTTTGAAAGTGAGCCACATACAGTACTCTCAGCCTTTTTACGTAATACTTAGAGAGCTGTTAAGGTTTCAGAGCAATTAACACAAGGAAGTAGTAGTCAACAAAATTGCATTAAAAAAAGAAGAAGAATACTCAAATACCAGTTAAAGAGAAAGAAATACTCAAATACAAGAGAACAAGTAAAGGTTTATTCCATGCAGAAAAGAGAAGATTGGAAACACAACGTTCAGGCTGTGGAGCCTTCTTCAGGTGTGAGGACACCTTCCTTTGCAGCCTACGCATGCTGATGCAGCTTCCTACTCGAACTTACTCAAATACTAGTTAACCAGTATTTGCACATTTACACTGGTGTTGTAATCTGGGTTCTAATTTAGAAGTTACCATGTTGCCAAAATCAGCAGCTCTGCTGCAAACCACACTGTACGTTAAACACAAATCCACTTTCTGAGCTTGCCACATTGACAAGGAAGGAAGCACAACTAACAGGAAAACACAAATCATGTAAGGCATCTCAAAATAAAATATATTTTTCATATTTTGTAGTACACAGTTTAGCATTTTACTGGTTTTACATTCATATACCCCAGATGTAGAAAACATCTGAAAAAACCTTCGATTTACTTTGCTGTTATGAAGAAACCACATGACAGAAATGTCACAATCATTTAAACCTGGCACGAATGCCAAATGTAACTGTATGAGGTTCTTGGGATGAAAAACACAATGGTTAATGAAAGAGCCAGTGTTCTCGAATACTTCAGAGATTTTATTTTGGCCCGTGTTACACTTCTTGTTCACGAGATTCATTTGCCTGTTCAGAAGCTTTCAAACGGTGTCTCTAGTAGCCTTGACATGTTGTTATTAGCCTGCTGTCACATACTTCAGAGTTCATTTGTAACTTGATCTAGAAACCAATCCAAATATGGGGCCCAGGTTTTATAAAGTATTCTTACCCTTATGCAAAAACCAAATGCTTTATGCTGACCATAAAAAAGGACTGGCTTCAGAGGAGCTGTTGAGGTTCTATCAACATTGTTTTGCTGAGCACACAAAATTAATTGTAACTTAACAATAACTATATAGCACCTTTCATAATACAGTTATTTGTATCATGTACAAAAAGTACAGCAAATGTGGTAATTCTCACCAACACAATTTGAAATAAAGAATGCAGTGTAGAAACATAAGAGCATGCACATTACTAGTATCCTGTATAGTTAAGCCATGTATGAGATAAAAAAAATTAAGTGGCAATAATCTTATATCCTGTTTGATCATTTAATGAAAATCTTATTTATATTCCAGCATACATTATAATAATGACAGATTCCTCTGCACCAAAATATTTGTAGTTTTTTTTTAATCCCATTATTACATTGGAAAGGCACAGATTCTTAAAAGGTTTAATTTCTTTCTCATCCTACAGATTCAGCAAACATAAAACAGAACTGGTACAAGGCCTCCTGAAATCACTTAGCTTGAGTCAGTCTCGTCTTTATATAGCATACTGGATTAATCACTCCTGAAGGAATCAATGCTTTACTGCAGCACTGTTGTATGTAATAGGTTCCCCATGCCTCTGTGGTAGAGAGCACATTAACAGCGCTCATTGTTTTTTAGAAACAGCCAAAATCACTCTCATGCCCTGCCTTTATACATTAATAGACCAGGTAAATAATGTTGCAGAAGATGTTGTTTTCCTCATCCAAATACCACATTTTTAAAATTGAATTTTCAAAAATCATTTTTTAAAATATAAACCTTCCATCCTATAATTACGCATGACACCTACATCCCTTCACTGCCTCCTTTTGTAGTGTGAATCAGGCCTAATGAGTGTTTAAGCTCTGAGAAGTCAGTAGTGCTACATCATTATTGAGCAGTGCTTGACAATATTCTGGTCGGCAGGTGTATTATTGATTGCTACTGCAGAAAGTGTCATTTTCAAAAGCAGTGCTGAACAATGTGCAATTTAATAGTTGTTCTTTGCAAGAACTCAATGTCCAGCACATCATTTTGTACCGTTTCAAGACACACCGGTCGCTGGAAATATGCCCAGTCAAACGTAAAAAAAATATATTTCAAGCACTGAGACCTAACTTCAAAGCTTTAAGATTACACAAAGAAACCATCTGACAATGTCAACACTGTTTCCCAAACTATGAAATAATATCTTCCTTGAAATCAAAGATATATCTTCCCTCTTTCTGAATAAGGCAAAACTCACTTAAATAAATACATTTTTGCCACAGATATACTGCATGTGTCTCTGTGTAAGGAATGGAGGACATGAGTAAATATTTCTGCAATCGTCTAAGACAAAAGAATAATTTGGATAAAAGGTACAAAACTCCACCATAGACTGAGGACCAAAGCAGTGCCATTTGCTAGAACAGAAAACCAGTGCAAAGAAGAAACAAGCAGAAACTAAACATGTTACACAAAGATCCACCCATGATAAACTGCAATTCACAGAATGATGAGTGAAAACCTTTTTAGTAGCAACAGATGAGAAACACATCTGTCAAAACTTCCTGCAGAATTCTTCTGATGAATTTAAAGGTATGAATTAAAGCTTTTAAGACAAGATTTCAACATGTTCGCACATTTATATTACAAAATCTTCACATTATCAAGCAATTAGTTATCGGTTACTCACTGGTAAACTCCATTTTTTAGATAAGTGACTGGCAACTTTAAAATTACAAAGAGACTACATATTTCCATCCATGAGAGAAAACAATTTAGGATGAATGGACAATTTTCAAACATAGTGGATATAACACTAAGTTAGTCTAATAGGTAGTCTGTATTGTAATTCTTAATTCATTCATACATAGAAGGGTTTAATTCGGCTTGATTCTGGATAATAATGGAAAGGATGTGATCATTTTTCCTAACTCAGAAAAAAATCTAAATAATTAAAATTGAGACAGTACTAAAAGCTTTTTAAAATGATACTGAGAAAGCTGACAGAATTAATAGAACATCTAAATATATTGCATTACAGTATATGTCCTTATACAAAAAGAAAATAAAAATAAAAATATAAAAAATACCAATAGAAGCACATAGCATAGGTAGGCTCAGCTGTGCAGTTGCTACACTGCCAAAAGTAGCTGTATTACTTTAAACCTAAATGTACCTCTTATTCTAATGTATTCACTTGTTTTGGCATTTTTGGCAGTTAATGCTTCCTAAAGATGAAAGTTTGTGTGGATGATTTAACATTTAAAAATCTGCATGGTAGTGTTGCCCTTTTAATCAATGAAAAGTGAAAGTACCCTAAAAAGCTGCACAAAAAGTACATTCCTATAAAAACACATGATTCAGTGGCTGATGTTTAACTAAAAACATCTGACGACTGTTTTCAATGTTTAGTACTGTAGCGAGGAGGCTAAAAAGAAACACTTTTCAACACTTTTAAACTTCAATGGCATACCACTGAATCATATTAAGTTCTTCTTCTCTGCTTAATGTTAAAAACAATGAACCGATTCTCATTAAGAAATACAATAAAACAGTGGAGGCCCCAGCAAA